CCTTTGTTTTCACAGTAAGCATTTTAATGGTTTTATCAGGCAGGTGGCATAATGATGATGTGTTTTAAGCAACTAACTCAAGAGAAGATTGGGACATGAGTGGAGATTCAGTGTGCCATTATCCTGCAGTTACCACTTGTGGCCACAATTTCTGTCTTGGAAGTCAAAGTGAAGTCTGATTTCTTCGCTTTCTTTGTAGAAGTGAATATGAGCTCTAAGCTAATGGTTCTACAGCTAGTTTTTATTTTGTTCTAAAGGATAAGACATCGTTTTTGATCACATTAGCATCTTAGTTTAAGGGTAGGTGTTTCCAGTGGCAACAACTGACGTTTTAGAGCTACTGTAGCATTGAGAAAGCCTTAGGGTACGTCAAACTATATTCTATAATTGTCGATACAAGATCGCCTTTTTCAGCGAGCTTCTTGCATATTGTTTGTGGTTTAGGTAGTCTGTTCTTTTGCAACATTGAACATTTGGGAATAACCATTGAATGTTTAATTTTGTATCCCGCTCGGAAAGGGGAAGCTAATAAGCCTAGCTTGTGGATGGCAGCAGTGATTCTCACCTGAAACTATTTTTCACTAATTATATTTCAACACAAGCTGATTATTCCAAGAGTAGGTCCAACTTCTTTTTGTAAATGTATTGCACATTTTGGCTACATTTCCAAAGTCTGCAAAAATAAAATGTCTGTTCCTATCCACTACCAGTTGTTTTCCTAGAAAGATATAGTATGATGGCGCTGATTTTGTGTATAGGATATATCAATTCTCGCGATAACATGACCCCCGTATAGAAGATGGTGCCACGGACGTAAACAACAACTCAACTTCGGAGCTCCGTAAAAACAAATATGTCTATGCCATCTAAGATTTTCATATTTTTGGAGTATTAACGAATTAATGGAAAATTATTTTCTGGCATCACTTTAACCTTTTATGGGGAAAATCGACATTCTGGTATGAAGGCGCACGCCGAAAGTAATAGGGTGCAGTTACCCGGTTTAGACAAAACCCTTTAATACTGTTATGTAAATATAACCAGTTGAGATTAACAATTGGTACCATTTTGACAATATACTGGAGGTCAAAACAAACACCAAGGTTATTATATATATGAGATGTAGTTTCAGTCACACTTCAGCATGCTCTGAACAGCACACATTCAGCATTGCACTTTGTAAAAGACTCAGGAATTCAAGATCTGTCTTCACATACTTTCAAGGACGAGTGTAGGGTAGGATGAGCCGTTCCTTTGATCTCTATCAGAATATTTATGCAATTGCCCCGTCCCGGGTGATGCCAAATGCTGAATTCACCATGCAGTTGCTGTAGGGCTACAGTATGTAAATAGAGGTTTATTTAATCTCAGAGCTAATGGCTGGCTGAGAGGCTGGGGAGGCTGTGGTAGTACACTTAATGGAAAACCTGCACTGCTTTGTGCTGTAGTAATGGGAGGAGATTATCTCACCATGCAGCAGGACTGGATGAATGCTCCTCCACAAATTGGCTGTTCCCTCTCCCTCCTTCTCTCTCTCTCTCTCTGTCGAGATGTTTATTATTTATGTTATACTCATAAGCCACACGAATGCTTTCATCATACTGAAACGGAAGCTGAGGAACGTACGGATGTTTTATTCGGTTAGATTATGCTTTTTCTTAGACTTTCTGTTATTTGTCGTTAAGGTACGGTTTGTGATTTTCTGTTGTAAGCATTGCAGTGATAATACCTTGAATTAACCTGCCACCATCTGTACCTCTTCATCATCAGACGTCACTGTTTCAGATGTCACATCCGTTTCTTTCATCAGATGCTTCCGTCTATTTTTCTCTTTTGTCAGCTCATGGGCCATGCCACTGTGTTAAAAATCCTTCTGACAGGTTGCCTAATGTTTACCCCTGAGAAAAGATCAATACTGCTGGGCCATTGTCCAGGCTTCATTTTTCAAACACAATTGATTGCGTTATATCATCCAAACCGGCCTTGACACGCTATACCAGACAAATCTATGTGGTTTGGTGTCACTGTGAACAGAAAGCAGTGTCAATTAAAGCCTTGTGCCTGTCGAATGTACTCATTACCTCTCGCACTTATTGTCAATCTGTGGTTATGATGTTCCATTCAGTTAATACTGAGTGTGGCATTTGATGGACACCATCACCGCGTGTAAGTTAGGTTTCAATGTAATGAAAAAAAAAAACATGTAAAAATTTTCATCGAATGAAGAAGCGTGGCTTGCAGCTGTTTGGGTTCGATATTATTCAAACACAAACAGTGTGTGAATGGAAAGGATTCAATAATATTGATCTTGGGTTTTTGATTGGCATACTTTACTTTCCCATGTGCTGTGATTAAATCTTCACAACACTTTGTTTACCTCCAGTGCCTGCTCCACCGCTCATAAAAGGTCACCCAAAATATCAACTGATATATCGTATGTTGTTTTTTACATGTCTAGGATTATTTATTTTATTACAAGGTAGTTCCAAGTATTGATGTTGTCCCTGGTGCTTATGGGTAGAATCATTGCAATTATTAAAATAATAATTTTGATTGATTATTGATTTTTTTTTACGAGGTATAGCTCCATAGTTACATTTGTTTTATTTGAATAGTTATTTGAAGATCTAGAAATTGGCCCCCACTAACAACTTTAACAAACCAAACCTATAACTAAAATCTTTTTATTTTGCTCTCTTTTTTTCTATGGTACCAAACTGGCAAAAGAACTAAGAAACAAGTGGGATAACTCTGCCACTGATCTTGTTAAGTCGACACTAGGAGTATTTGATTTTTTGTATTTTGTTTAACCAAGCCTGCAAAAGAACATGAGAAAACTGTAATTCTGTGTAAATCCCCCTTGACTCTTACGTGTTGAGTGTGCAGTAAGAGCCCTGTAGGGGGCCCACTGCCCAGCCTCATGGAGAGCGTCTGAGAGTTATGGGGGTCAGCTGTGAGCGCTCTGCTGCTGTCTGATAACTGATGCTGATGTGGATGGAGTAAGCCCTCACCTATGCACAGTTGCACACGTTTGCTTTTTTTAGTTTTCTCCAGAGGAAAAAGCAGCTCCCTGGAAACCAACAGCATGAAGACCAATAGACGTAATCAGAATCAAGAGCACTTCTGCATTCATTTCAAGCCACTTAAAGCATGTGTTTCATCTAAAGCACCTATTTATAGATAGATAGATAGTTTGGCATCGGGAGACTAAGCTTTCATTTATCTAATGTCAACTCGCTTACCCTTCATGTTCTTTTTCAGATTAATGAATATACAGTTTAATGGTCTGTTAACGCAATATTGATGAGGTGATGCTGATGAGATGCCCAAAGTAAATCAGTGTTTACAAATGGACGAGCAATTGCATCCACTTCTTCCTCCATCCGAACATTAATTTAATTGACTAGGCTTTGGTCATTTGTCAATTATCAACCATGAAAAATAACATAGTTATCAATTAGGGCTCTGATGGGGTTCCAACCAGTGATGCGTCAACTAAATGTTATGTTGCCATTTTGGCATTTGGTGTAATCAAAGAAGCTGTCCTGTTATGTGACAAAGTGATTGCAGTTAATAAGGTCAGAAAAATGGAATATATGAAGCGAAATATTGATAATAACAAGTATTAAAAGAGACATTTCCTTCCAAAAAATGTATATTGATGAACATGACAAAATCAAGCATTTAAAAAAAAAATGTTACATTACAGTATATGAGTTAACTGCAGAGCGATTTAACTTAAAGTTGGCGAGAGTTGACAAAAGAAAAATGTTTTTGCAAAATCTTCCAGTTTCCGTTTTTCATTGAGGATCCCTATGATCAGTAGCCTGAAAAATAGCCGATGAATGTACTGTTTGTCTGACAATCAATGAGACAAGAATTGGCTAGCTAACCGAACTAACAGCCATCATGCTTTCCCACCCTAACTGTCTACATTGCGGGAGGAGACAGTGGGATATGTTAGCTAGTAAATTCTTGACTAATATTATTATTATTATTATTTTTTTAAAGGCAATCCCTAATTAAATGTTATGAACCTCTCCCCTCGTTGTGAGCTCAACCTTCCCACCAAACGTCCAAATCGGTTGTTCCAGTGGTGCCGAACTGAAGGAAGTGCATTGCCCTAATTGTTTATCTGTTTTTGTTTTTTAATTTTACTTTTTTGTGAGACATCCTCCTCCCTTGTGGAGCTCCATACATTTGTAAGCACTTGACATAAAATAAGTATTGAAGTCTACAAATTAAATGTACCTTTTACATTCTCACACACATGCTTTCATTCCCTTATTCTTCCTATTCATCCAATACATCCACATTGATGTGTCCATAGTAATTTACTGCAGTGTCACCCTGCACAAGTCCACTGTTATTGATGTATTGTCGTCTTTGATTCATTTTCTTATTGTGGCAGGTAGTCAACCACTACACACACACACACACACACACACACACACACACACACACACACACACACACACACACACACACACACACACACACACACACACACACACACACACACACACACACACACACACACACACACACACACACACACACACACACACACACACAGAGAGAGAGCCTGGCTGATATCGGCCATAGTCATAGCCAAAGTATCTGACAGTGTATTTTGTATCCCATTTTCCTTTCCTTCTACTATATGTGCACTATATGTCTTCTGTGTGTTTTTTTACTAATGCGTTGCTGTGCGTTTCTCTGTGTGTCTGAATGATGTCGGTTTGTCTCCTCATCTGTCTCTGTGTCTTGCTTTGCTTGACTGTCTTTCACTTTGTCTCTCTATGAAACCCACCCCCCTTACACCATCAAAACACACACACACACACGCCACATTCTTCCCAGGCTTTCCTTAAATCTTCCCACTACTGAGAAAGTAGGTGACAGCACTATATGCACATGCCGCAAAGGGCTGACAGGGTTTTTAACCAGATACGTCACAACTACAGGGGAAGGAAAATAGAGGGAGGGACAGAGGAGAGGAGAGGAGGAGAGCAGAAGAAGAGACAGGGAGAGAATGAGAGAAAGGGGGAGAGAGAGTACAGAGGGATATATTGGCTCAAAGCTGGTCTGCATGCTCCAGTGTGTGAGAGACAGAGGACGTGAGCGCAGGCAAGATGGAGTGCTGGCACAGATGAAGACTGTCCCTGGGTACGTATTTGTGGCTGGCTGTGTGAATGTGAGAGTGTGTGTGCGCACATGTGCTTGCATGTGCATGTCTCTGTATGTAAGAAGGTTGAGAGCGATGGAGTTTGAAAGCAACATCCTTTAAGTCATTTGAATGTGGGTACCCAAGCAATGAATTAGGGTGTTGTTACATAAGAAGCAGTATGAGGGACTAGGTATTGAATATGTGAACAGGCATTTTGGGGTCTCTCTGTGTGTGAGTGCATGTGTGTATGGTCTTAACTCGTGTGTCTGAGAGACTCTACGTAAGTGCTGTAACTAAGTATACTGAGGAAGGAGGGATGTGCAGTTTACAACTGAGGTAAATCTTGTTCTGTTTGAAGGTGGAGGGTTGTGCTGCCTTGATCAACAAAAGCTTCAGTGTGTTCAGTATGTAAACATGTATTTCAGTGCATGTCAGAAGAGATAGTAAATATGTTTTATGATGCACTGGAGGTGCGTTAAATGCTGATGTAAACACATCAAACAAATATCAGTATTGTCGACCACACTACGGAGGAATCACCTCACTACCTGCCTTGTTATGTTTTTGAATTTTGCATGGTTCCTGCATACAACTGATCTCAATCCAAAAGCATATGCTAACCTATGTGCAACATGCATATGTAAATGACAACATACAGGACAAAGAAGATAATCTACACAAATGACCAGAAAGGGTAGATGCCCCAGGTAGACGTTAACTAGAGCTGAAACAAATAATTCAGTAGTTTATCTGCAGAACATCTTACTTTATAATGAGCAAAAGCCATTTTCCCCGCAAAAAAAAATATATACAAAAATAAGAGTTGCTGCTTTTCAAGCATTACCAGCAAAAGAAGCATTTTCAAAACATTCAGCTTTGGCTCTCGGAACTAGATTTGTTTTTGTTGTGCTGATGTTTTATTATCTAGAAGAGAATTTACTGTATATATAAAAAAAGAAGAGATAGAACTGAACACTTAGTAAAAGTGTGAAGCTCTTAGACAGACTTAACAGTGTCAACACCTGGAGGAAACAATGTTGTGGTGGTGGCCTGTCAATCACAATGTAGCCCCGCCCTAAGGCAAATGCTGCTTTATTGTTTATTATGCTCTTAATCATGCTATATTGAAGAGGGCTCGAAACAAGCTATTGAACTCATCAACTCATAAGGAAAATGTTTACTGAGTTAAAAAATCTATTGAAAAGTCGGGTCATTTTCTCGTAGACTTCTATTCAATCTGATATATTTTTACAACCAGTGGAGTCGTCCTCTGCTGGCCATTCGAAAGACTGCAAGTTTAAGCCCCTTCAGCATTGGCTTCACGTTTTACACACAGAGGTTGCTACTTGAGTTGTAGCCCTTTAATCCCTACTTTGATATGTGCATTTTCAAAGCAACTGGATGAAAAACATTTCAAACAGGCTTTTTATTTGTGCTCACACAACCGAAACAGATGCATCAGTCTACTAAAAGAGCAGTCTTATTTTATTATGGGTGGAAGAAAACACCTGGAAAATCATGACAATGTGCTAAACACAGATAAAATACCCACACATCAAGTGACAGAGGTCACATTTTGACACTAAACAGTAGTGACGTGATGGACATATGCAATATATAGGGGGCTGGCAATGGACATTCATACAATGCCCCGAATGAGTAGTCGTCACACAGCAGTGATAGTATGTTTTAGATAAAGACCATATTATTTTTTGTTCTTTAGTGCTTTTGGTCTATAACAGTTGAGTCAGAGTCAGAGTCAGTATTAAAAAAGAAAACAGAGTTTATCTCTGTGATCACTGAAATCAAACCATCTCTTTAAATAATAAAGAGCACGGCAGGAAGAGAAAATATGTTTTCAGTCTCTGCTAATCACCGTGAGGGAAATAGGAAATGATAGCATTTAATTTAGCGAAGTTGAGCTTTGGCAACAGTTAGTATGCTTCATTAAGTGACAAATGCTGTATGTTAGGGATTGAGAAAGGCTTCAAAAAGTATTATGTAAATATTGCTTAGGGGACTTGCAGATGAGCGAGAGAGGAGTAAACGAGAGAGATAAGGGAGGGATTAGAGTGAAGTGCAGATACATAAGTGACATCACTTGTTCATACTTTACAGCTCTACATTTGAAAATTAATTCAGAGCACAGACTTGGTGTGCTGACACAATGTGTGAGTCACACTTGAGGTGCTAAAGGTTCTGGCAGTTTCTATTTTGGCTGTTGAGAAGACAGGTTTGCATCAATGGTTGGAAATAGAAACGTTTTTCTCTAGGATGTTTTGGATGTGCTGGGATTTTCAATATTGCCTTGAAAATGAAGTGACCTCTGGTGCTGCTGGGCGAAGTCACAGAAAGTGGAGACTTAGAAAGTAGGACAGTCATTGGAGGCGGAGGAAATGACTGTTATTTAGTTTCTCTCTTCTGAGCCTCTGCTAAGATCCCTGCTGTTACTCCTTTTGTGTTTCTCAACTCATTATGTTCCTTCTATCTTCATTTTCATCTCACAGTCCCCTTCGACAGTGCACATGAGCGTCTCCAAACCCCCACCGCTCCCCTCCACCTCCCACTTGGCCCTCCCCGCTTCCTCCACCCCTCCCTCATCTGCCACCTCCCCCTCAGCGACACCCCACCACACTGGTCCGCCCCCTCCCTCACCGGTCAAGATCTCTATGCAGGAGCACTTTGCCATCAACGTGTGCCCGGGCCCCATCCTCCCCATCCCACAGATCTCAGACTTCTTCCCACGTTTCCACGACTACCCCTGCACGCCGCCGCCTCCGAGGGAGAAAAAGATCCTAAAAGAGGAGACTTTCAACGGGGATATGGGCGTAGGATTCAAGGATGGGGAGAGGAGGTTGGACAACAATGGAGACAGGGAGGAGACAGTGGACTCTGATGATGAAGACAGTGAGTTCTGATAAGGGGGAACAAATTCAATTGTGAAAAAGACGTTATCAATACTAGTGTGTATTTGTATTTATTCATGTGAAGATTACAAGGCAATATAGCAGAAAGGCCAGTCTTGAAGAGGAGATGAGTTTTTGCATTTTCCTCAGAAGCACAACATATGTTTTCAGAGTAATTGTGGAGTCAAGCATTTTTCCAAGTATTAGTCACTCCCACTTTATGGATTTATTAGACCATGTAGCAACAGTGGGACAACGGCAGAGAAAGTTTCTGCTCTTCTGAAACGGTAATCAAACAGGACAGATTAATTCATATCAGGCAGCATAATGTTTTTAAGAGGCCATCTGCTACAAATATGACTCAGAGCTTTTGTGTGTTTCCGTTCCTTTCCTGGCTGTAATTGCTATGGTTTGTGTTCTTTTCAGCCTACCTGGGAACATTGGAGTTCACCCTGCTCTTTGATCAAGAGAACAACTGTCTACATTGTACTATTAACAAGGCAAAGGTACACACTATTTCAATATCTTCTTTGTGTCAACACACTTCTGTTTCTGTTTGGTTGCATAATTCTCGTTGAAGTCCAAATGAAAACTGCTGTAATCCTTTCACGTTTGCACAACATGTCAGACTGCTTTCTCTCAACCTTTTGAAAATAGCGTGTTTGACACACTCTCTCAGCAGCTTGTCAAGTCAGTACTGAATCACCTTTTTGAACTATGAATCGCTGGGTTATGTTGCTGTTGCAGACACATTTGGTTTTGCCATTGTACCACGACACGCTTTGTATTACATATTGTGCACTTGTCACATGATGTTAATTATGTCAATTTTACAGACTGCTTTCCTTTAGGACAACACAAAAGAGTCAAGGTTGGTAGAAAATAGAGGCAGTGAAAAAAACACCCAGAAGCACTAATGAGATGTAGCTGCTGTAGAAGTGGTCCGTCATATCCGCTGTCTTTTTCTCACCCTGTCAGTTATATGAAGTGTTTCAGGGCATGATGACGTTACCTTTGACACTGCTGTGTGTGTGTGTGTCTGCTTGTGTTCACAGGGACTGAAAGCCATGGACTCCAATGGACTGGCTGATCCATACGTCAAGCTTCATCTTCTCCCCGGGGCTAGCAAGGTCAATGCTCCAACCTTGCCTCAGTGGCAATTAACGTAACATGCTACCACAAGGTGCTGCCCCAGACAGAGACACTCCCACAGGAAAGTCCCACATCCCACAAGAAATGCTGACAAAAGAAAAAACTGAAAATAGAAAACACTCCATACATTATTCAACAGAACATAACAAAAAAACAAAACTATTTACTATTTTGAGAATAATAACCTCCCTTATTGATTCAGATGCCATGAAAAGGTCAAAATGCTAAAACATAACATGGCAGCGGGCTAATTTAATGTGTTGGTCAAGCCGTTGAGCGGAGAGCCTTTGCGTTCGTTACCGCTTAATGTGGCTCGTCCAATGCTCTGCTTTATCGAGCACAAAAACCTTCTGGTCTGCTGCACCGCTCTTGTCTTGTTTTCAGCTCAAGCGGCAGGAAAGATAAGGCTTGCAACAACAGCAACCCCCCAGCTAAGGCAGAATGCAACCTGTTGTCGGCCATTTTGGCTCAAGGTTGACACAAAATGAGGTTATGATAAGTGCGGGAGGAAGCAGAGGTAACATAGGGCAACTGTCTGAGGTCTTAGGTGCTAACAATAACAATGTCTGGGGGATTCTTTTTCCTCCAGCCTTCCTCTGTCTGTCTTCATTCCCGTTGTTATCGCTCTGCTTTCCCCCACTTTCCGCCCCTATCTCTGTCTATATCTCACAATCTGGCTGTGACCCTCTTTGACCTTGAAATACCAACAGTGTGTGGAGAGAATGGAGACAACTGAGAGAGAGAAAAAGTAGAGAGAGAGGGAGGGAGAGACAGATGAGGGGAGGACAGCAGCAGGTGGTTGTCATGGAAACAGGGAGGATTGTTACACGGCTCACGTCAACAGACGAACGTAGATGGGGGAAGAGGGGAGGTGGAGCTAGTGGCGGTGGTGGGGGGCGCAGGGAAAGCGTCAATGAGTAGGTAAGTACCCATGAACAGCCAGTTGTTAAATACCCACCAGACGGGGGCCACGTCACTTGAAAAGTACACACACTCACACACCTACTCATCGTCCACATTCAGACGAGGCATGTAAACGTTGCAGTGAGTGAGTAATCCAGAACACAAAAGGTTTCGGTGTCTGCTGAAGAATTCACTTGTCAACATAGCAGAGACATTTGTCTTCTCTGCCCCACTCGTTTTCCTCCTTTCTCTCTCACTCATCCTCCAGCCCATGCTCTTTATCCAGAATGCAGTCCAGCATGCTGTCTTGTGATGTGAAACACACACTGCAACCCATGCGGCGCATAACCTTGCCTGTATGCAAACACATGCTAAGTCTTTAGTCACAGTCACACAGAGACGCTGCCTTGATCCGTAACTCCTTCTCTATCTATCCTTTTGCCCATTCTCACACATTAACGTGGGCAGACACAGCAATGCAGGACACCTCTGTGATGGTCATTGCTGTTTCCATCTTCCCATTCCTAGTGGAGGTGAATGGAAGATTCACTCACAGCTAGATTCTTCCACCGAGAGCTCTGGGAAGAAGGGATTAAGAGAGAGAGAGAGAGAGAGAGAGAGAGAGAGAGAGTGTGAAATAAGTAAAAAGATCCATGCAAACAGATGGAGATAGGGGAGAGGGTGACGGACAGATGGAGGGCTAGAGATAAAACATTTGGAAACAGATGCAAACGCACCAGTAGAGTGCGAAAATGGAGGCGGGGTGTTATACAGGGCAAGGAGAGGGAACTGGTGCATTAAGTGTTTGTAAAGAGGTAGTATTTGGTTAGATATATGTTTAGAAAACCAACCCAATTCAGTCAATCAGGAGTGTTTATAAAATTGCTGTATTGTTGAGCTGTGCTGACACACATACAGCTGTGCGCCACCGCTGTGTCGTGACTGTGCCTGTAAATGTCTCCTCCTGCACATTAATGAATCAAACAAATGACAGAAATCAAATACGCGTGTTCCTTTCATGGGCCGAGCCCTGGGGGGCTGACTCCTGAAGATAAGCCAACAGTTTCCAGCAGAAAATGGATAATAAAAAGGGGACAGTGATGGGAGAAAGGGAGTTAGAGGGGAAGGCGGCACAGGCAGAACAATGGGATGTGGAGACAAAAACAGACCATGAGAAAGAAGATGGAAGAGAGGCTCAGCTTCTGGCCCTGAGGCGTTAAGAGACTGACTGTGGCAGAAAGGAAAAAGGAGAGGGAGAGAGACGAGGTGTTTATCTGCAAAGTTCAGACATGAGCACGTTTTTTAAGAGAAGTCAAGACCATTGTTCTACTAGCTGGACATTTAAAGAGTACGCCTATAGTTATGAATAAACACTAGTGGTAGAATATCCTTTACTTTATTAAAAAAACGCAATTGCATAATGCAAAAAAAGGACATGACATCAAAATATCACCTTTGAGAGTATTGACTGCAAAAATAAACCAATGATATTGATTCAAGTTTTTAATATGTAAGGAGAAGGGCTCAGTCTTATTTAAAAACAAATATGTTACTGATGCATTACATGTTATGCAGTATTTCAATGTAAGCAGTCATCATCTTTCTTACTGCTTTCTATACCGTTGGACATTTTAAAAGATAAGGCTGACGATGCTCCATATTTTTCTCACTGTCAACAAATCCCATAAAACGACCAAATCAACAATATGCTAGTCCTTTTCTCAATACCCTCAGAGTCATCCATGCCAAGCTGTGTTATTCAGCCCGAGCCAAACTGTTCTGGCTGAAGATGCTGAATAAATCTTCAAAAATGGCTCACAAATACTCCAACAAATTTAAACTCCTTAAAAGAGGCCCATTTTAGTGGCGTACATTTTCCCTGGTGGACTTTCTTCAGCCGTGGATTTATTACGCAATTAACAGTATATGTCAGATTGTCTAAAATCGAGATGTCTTTTATGGGAGCTCTCTAAAATCTGTAAAATAACGTTAATGATGACCCCGATAAGTAGAAGACTCCCTTTTCCCAATCAAGCGGCCACTATAAATATCTTGTGATGCCTTTTAGCTAGCTAAATCATTTCACCAGAGTGTGCGTCACCATTTCTAATATCTAGCGCCATTTTTTTGGTGGATGTTGCTTCCGACGCAGGAGAGGGTGCTGATCTCTCGGTCCAGGACTGAGGCTTCCCTCATCCTAATTCTTGCATGCAGACTGGTTGATGTGTTTGGGGCTCCTCAGTGGAATAGGACACCTGGAAGACAGAACTCCCGTAAGACTCCCCCACCTGCTGACTGTTTTTCATCTGAGACAGCTCTGCAGTTTATAATTATGAATCCCTCTTCTTGGCATGACCCACCCTGCTTAGTCTGTTGAGGTGAGGCAATGACCTTGAGTGGTCCGGGTCAGATTGGCCCGTTATACAGGGCATAGAACCTGAACAAATTGGGTTATTGGTGCCTCGTGCCAGCATCGACCCATGGCCAATCCTTGCGCTTGAATGCTCTGCAATCCTGCTAAGAAAACCAGTGGGTTTCATATCAACTCCTCCTCCTCCTTTCCCCATCAACATACTAGCAACTCTACCAGCACACTTCTATTAATTCCCTGCCCTTGTATAGCAATTTTCTCTGCCTGCCTGATTCTTTACCAAATCTCTTTTTACTGAGCTTTTACAAAATATACCAAAACTCATTTTTAGGGTCCTTTTTTATAGTATTTTGGACACTAATGGAGATCTTTGGCACGAGGAATAAGCTATCACCAGATGTATCCTATAGTGTGCTGTACCATACGCTCACTGTAGGTATTTCAAATCTAATTATAATTCGAATATAGCTGTGAATTAATGGAAGTGGCGCTGAAGTAGAGTTGCAGTACAAGCAGAAGCACGTCAAAATGAGCCACTCCCGCAACTGAGAACAGCCAATTAGTTCTGCCTTTGATCTTGGTCTTATTAACCCACATCCCATTACCATTTTGACAAAGACTGTGTTATTCGGAGGTTTGGCTTTGCAAGAGTTGAATTTATGTTTAAAAATCTAAAGAGTCTGTAAAAATTCATTTTATTGGGATACACACCCAATATCTAGGAGGGTTCAAAGCATTTAAATACATACAAAATAACATTTGAAATAAAAACATAACAGGATGAACAAATCCTGAAGGTAACTGTGGGAAATGAAGCAGCATGTGGCTAAAAACTTTATTTATGGAGGGTGAATTTATGAAGTGCTCCTGGGCATTTCTTTTCTTAGAAAGCTTGAATTTTTCATGGTGAATGTCTTGTGCAACCTAATTGGCTGTTGTGTTAAGTTTGAGACAGAGCGCTTGTTTTAAAGATCTGGTTGGGCTAATGCACAGTTTTATCATGTTGGAGAGAAGACAGGCAGACAGTCGAGGCAAGGAAAATGTTGTGTCCTCTCCCTCTCCTCTACTAAGTAGGCAGCAGATGTCTGCGATTCCTGAGGGACAGAAATATATGATGTTTCTCCACTCTTTCTTTCTCTCGCTCTCATTCTTTCTTGATCTTCTAGTATCACTCATTTCGTTTCCTTTTTCATGATCTTTTATTCTCTTTCTCCTATTCTGATCTGATGACTTTGCTCCTTCACCCTTAAAACATTCATCTCTTCTTCCTTTGATCCTTGCCTTTCCATGTATCTCTTTTCATATTCCTTCTCCTTTGTCTCCTCAGGCAAACAAGCTACGCACAAAAACCCTGAAGAATACGCTGAACCCAATATGGAACGAGGAGCTGGTGTATCATGGCATCACAGCAGTCGACATGACCACCAAAACGCTCAGGTAGGCGCTCCGCTCTGATTCTCACACTGGCCAGAAATTTGATTTATTCCCCAGAAAGCAAAGTGACCAGTTTATGATGTGGGGGATAAAGATTCATGCTTACAATTCTCCAGTGAACTGCCTGCAGCGCGCTATGAATCCCAATGGGCTTTTCCAGGTCATTCGTTATTTCAGCCAGACTCCCACATGCAGTCTCTGCTGTACCTGCTAGGTGTTAGATGTGGGGGGAGTCTCTGCACTCTCCTACCCGCAATGCTCTCCATATGGACTGATTGAGGTCGAGCGTAGCCATCTTGGCCCAATAAGTCTGACACACTGCTGTCATGTGAAAGTTGGTTCAGAGTTGCGCGAGAATTTTCTTTGGGTACGTGTGTGCTGCATACAATCAGCGTCAGTTTGCTCAGCATATTCATAATGGGGTTGGATGCTATTGTTTGTCCTGAGGAAACACGGGCTCGGATGCCCACACACATACGCACATGAATCTCGTCTGCGCCGCACACACAAATGCAGGCTGTCAGGTGTGTGCTTATCCTCGTGTGCATGTCAAGGGCGATCACTGGCAGGACACATGAGTACGCAAACAACACACGTCCTTGAGCTTTTACAACCGCTCACATTCAGAAATAACATTTACTCTCCCTCCCACTCATTTACTCACACACAGGGGCGAGAGGAGACAACCCTCAGACTAGAGGAAACCCACCTGACCTCTGTTCAAGGACATAGCCCACAGACACAAACCAGTATGGTGGCTGTGGGATGCTAAAACGAGGAAGAGGAGGAGTAGTGTGACCAATGTCAAGCAAGAGATGATAAGAACGAGAGAGGGAGAGATGACTGCCAAGACCCACAAAGAGAGAAGGAGGAAAAGCGTGAATGATGTCAAGTGACAGATAAGTCGGTGTGGAAAAGAGAACTAGTGAGGCAAAGCTTGAGGAAGACGATTCTGCGGGGCAGTTGAAAGAGAGTGAATGATTGGCTCACAGAGAGGGTACTGCGATGGATAAAGTGATGAATGAGGAAATTCACTTAGCTGAGAAAAAAGAGCAACGGATGGGGAGGAGTTTACTCACAGCTAAAATACGACCGAAGACAGTGAGAAATACGAGAGGCAGAAAGCGAGCAGCAGTGAATGAAAAGCTGTCAGAGAGCGAAGAAACAGGGGTAAGGCTCACGATAGAAAGAGAGGGGGGAAATAGGCTCAAACTCTCTGTGGATGTGTTCAAGTGCCAGCACGATAACTCCGCCAATAGACAGACTTTGTTCTCATTACTCCACAGAAGGCAGCATACTGTCAGAGAGACACAGAGGCATCCCCAGAGAAATGCTTACTCACTGGGTTTGCCCGCTTTGTCGGTCCCAGCAGGGTGCAAAGGGAGTCTGTAGTGTTTGATCCCTGCGCCCTGTCCACTGCTCAGCAGGAGGACACTGTCCAGACTTAGCCTCTCTGTCACCCTGTCTGAAGGCTTGGACAGTGCACAGTTTATAGTTGGACTGGTCAATACTGCAGTCAAACAATGTGAGAACAAGGGTTTTATCAAAGCAGTAAAGGTATTGTAAATTGTTATCTCTTAAATGTTGCTCCTGATTGAATTGGGGACAACTGTGGCCATCAGCTAAATGAAATGTAATGTGCTTTTCAATTCGTTAGCCTCTGCTCCTGGAAAGCTACTATATCAGAAATAGAATAGAAAAACAACTGGTGTTTCTGTTTGAAAGTACAGCCAAACAAACACATTTCAAGAAAGAAGTTTATCAAAAAGAACTGCAACGACAATCAGATTTAGGCTAGAGACACTACAGGTACTTTCCCACAGCATTGCAGGATTCAGTCAAGTTTGTTACATTGAAAGACTGTGATCACTGCTCACATCATCTCATACAGCAATCGACCACTTTCAATATCAAGCAGTCACTGTGGAAAATGTTCAGTTTGCATTCGCCGCATCCTAAACAGAGTGAACCGTAAAAGTCAATGCTGTCAATCCGATTAAATTGAGTGGATTGTACGCCTGTCTAAATTCCTAAGAACCCTTTGTGCTTATAGGGAAACAATCTTAATCCAACCAGAGCAGAGCGGACTCCACCACTGCCAAAAAAAACCTCATACAGATCATGGAAAAGCATTGACTGGTTATGGCAGAAACTTCCTACCATAAATAGTCAAAACAGGGTTTGACGCCGTAAAAATCTTTTATGATTATGTCTATAAAGAAGTGTCTTACTGTTTAGTAGTTCAGCCCACATTATAGGCAGTGTTCAAAGCTGGAGTGCAGCCAAAAACCTTTGAATCATTAAAAAAGCTTTTGGTGTCAAGTCCATTCTGATGCACCTCTCTTTGTGCTGAAGGATAAATGCTGTTAAGAGATTTACGCGGTGTGTGGAGTGGAAGGAGCACTGCATTTATTCATTTATTTTACCATTCATTTACTCATTTGCAGATACATTGATTATGTAAGGCTGAAAAAAAGCACTTAAATAGAAAGGAACAGTTAAATAGAAGCTGGTTACGAAATGGCTTGGAGAAAGGGGTCTCTCAAAGTTGTTTCAGTATTCTTTCTTTTATGTTCTGTATTCAACAACCCTATTCTTCAGTGTGCAGACTATATCTCTAAGGGCCAATTGTAATTAAGAATGAATCTGCTGAGTAAACTAATAACTAATGTCCTTAACCCAGACTTCCCGGTTGGACTCAAACCAGCTATTCCTTCAATAAGTCTTGCGTAAAAGATCTACCAAACTGAGAATTATATAGTCTGTTTTTAAGAGGTAAACATCTTGTTCGAAACTAAAAACGTTTTTACAGATAGTATCTGCTTTTTTTCAATGTTAATTGTATGAGCTCTGTGACAGATACTTGAGAAACAGCAATGGTAAAAAGTAGATTCATAGGTCTGCTTTGAAGCCTGAAAGTGTGATAGATTAACTTGCCCCAAAGATTTTTGTATTGCAGTTAGGCCGACATGCATGATATTGTGATTATGTGCAAATGTCTCTATCAGTTGCTGCAGACTGCCTCTGCCTTTGGGCAAATTTCAAATGATTTAGGGCACCATGATAGTACGTTGCCTCCCTTCCCCTATTTAAAAAAACCTCTTATAATTTCTCTGTGCCTTTTTAAAAGATGGACAAAGAAATATAGGCTTGTGGCTTTTACCACTAAAAGGAATATCAAGGTGCCATTTAAAGGAGTAGAGATTGTGTGTGTGTGTGTGTGTGTGTGTGTGTGTGTGTGTGTGTGTGTGTGTGTGTGTGTGTGTGTGTGTGTGTGTGTGTGTGTGTGTGTGTGTGTGTGTGTGTGTGTGTGTGTGTGTGTGTGTGTGTGTGTGTGTGTGGACTGCAACATCTTGTCAGTGCCAGGTCTAGTCTCTCTCTATTTCTCCATCCCTCTGTCAGCCTTCATAATGGACTCACACATTCCTCGCTGTGGGGAGATAGGGACAAATATAGATGTATAGACTTGATTTGTTATCGGATTGAGGGAGAGGCTGAGATTGGCTACTGGATGCCTGAGGTGAGATGTATAGTCGAGTTCTGATATTGTCAGGGAGGAAAACATATTTGATTCTGTGTTAGATGTCCGGATAACAATGACATGTTGGGTTGGGTTTGCCTTTTGTTTGCTTTGCTAGAGGCAATAGCCGCGTTCACACCAAGTACTTTGCCGTACTTAGTTCCCAGCACTTAGTTCCCAGCACTTAGTTCCCCTATGGAACTAAGAGCCGATCGCGTTCACACCGGAATAAATTCCCTGAGGGAAGATTACGCAAATGAGCCGCTGATGTCACTTAGTCTTCTTCTGCTTTGGGTTTACTGGCAGGCCGCAAACAACTTCACGGCGTATACTGCCACCCGAAGTCCCCGGCCGGAAGTCCCCGGAGTTGGGGACTAGCTTCAGTAGAAGCTGCTGGGACTCCCAGCAGCTTCTACAGAAGCCTTCCGAGTAAATCGCCAGAACGCCGACACCTCCTCATCTCTACCGCTCCCATGTTTTCTTTTGTGTTGCCATAAGTTAGTCTCTCTGCGTTTGTGCGCGGGGGCGAATGCTAATGCTAATGCGAGGATAATAAAATGGCGGCTCTACAAAACATTTCAGAGTTTTACGGGGCGTGGTTTGCTCCCCCAGGATAGTACCATCTCTCAGCAGGCACTAAAAATGGGGGTAAAAGTTCCCGGCACTAAGTACTCTTTTTGGTGTGAACGTGACATAAGGGGTACTAACGGAACTAAACGCGAAAAGTACGGGGAAAAGTACTCCGGTGTGAACGCGGCTAATGTCGCTCAGTTCACCATATTTCTGAGCTATAAACTATTATGGAATGAATTGCTGTTAGAATTTGTTCAAATGTTTACAGTATGGTCACCCTGCGATTAATCCTACTGACTTTGGTAATCTGCTTACTTTCCTTCATTGCCACTGCTAATATGGAGTGAACATAATTAACTCTATACCCACCTCACTGAAGCATTTGATCTTTGTCATTGCAAGCATGTTAACATGCTCATGTTAGCATTTAGCTAAAAACACTTGTGTGCCTTAATAGAAAACTCAGTATTCAGTATTAAGCTTCTGTAAAAACAGTGGTCGACGCTGAAGTTAGTTTTGTATCTCCAATTATATTACAAACATGCTATCCCAGGATTTCCCCAAAATAATCTATGTCAATATCCTTTTAACGAACCATGCAATTTCACTTCATAATGTTTAATTAAATAATGTGTTATATTTCATTAGGTTTACAACTGTTAGCTGAAATTGCTTTAGGGTTAGCATGTGAAAGGTTACATATTTACATATGCAAATGCTGTGTAATTTAAATGCACTTCAAAATAAATATTGCTCATGACCCCTTTAATTCATTTTTTTAAATACCACAGCAAATGTCCAACAACCCTGTTGGCTTTCATGACAACAACATCCCTGTCGTCATGAAAGCCAACCCCATTTTTTGGTTCACTCCTACTTCCATGAGATCGTTAAAGAGACACTATATCTTGCACAGACGCTACGCTTGAGTGATAAAATAACCTCATCATCCAATGTAACTCATGAGGCCAATTTAGCGACTTAACACAACATTTGGCAGTGCAGGTTGAACAGATTCCACCAGCATCTGTTGGGTTTTTAGAGGAATTATAAAGCGGGATGTGGGAGAGAGTGTGAGGAAACGGATTGAGTCTTTGCACATACTGTAGGAAGCCAAAGGTTTGGGCGGAACTGGTGTCACATTTCCCACCACAGACACCCTGCATATATGACGGAGCAAAGGCACATTAATCATCTGACAGCAGTGGTCATGAGTCAGAGTTATTCTGAAGCTCCTGCTAGGGATACTCATCCGTTATGACTAAAAGTCTGGAACCAGCATGTCAAATGGACAGGAAGAGAACAGGAAGAGGGGAAAGGTGTGTGTGTGTGTGTGTGTGTGTGTGTGTGTGTGTGTGTGTGTGTGTGTGTGTGTGTGTGTGTGTGTGTGTGTGTGTGTGAAGAGAGAAAGGGTTGAGAATAGATGATGAAGAGCGAGGAAGAAATCAAGAGCAGGGACATCCATCTGGGAATACTTGAGCACAGAGGGAATATTGTAGCAGGTGATGGGCTGTGAAGACTGCACTGTAGCTGACGGAACATTGAACATCAACATCAGTTTGAATAAGTGCGCTCTGTAGAGGGAGATAAAGCAAAATAGACAAAGATAGTGATATGGTTGTCTCTTTTTGAATTTAGAGTGCAACCAAAGAGAACATGCATGGCTGAAGTCTTTTACTGTTGTCCTGTTTTTATTTGAGTACCCCACTACATGTCCAACTGATAGATATATATATATAGATATAAATAACACATAGAGTGCTTTTCGTTCACTAAGTTATGCGTTCTCTCTCCTCCTGTGACCTGAAAAATGCTTCCCCTCTGGTTATGAAGGGTCTTCCTATCCTTTAAATGCACCTTGAGGGGACGATGAGTGAGGGGGATTATGGAGGAGCTGAGAGCGAGGGAACACGGAAGTACCCTAAGCCTACATTTTTTATCAAGTGCTTTGACGTATAAATGCCAAGCTTTAACATGTGACGCCGGGCTGTGCAGCACGTCATAGATATCTGACGTCATTTAGGTGTGATGCTCTGGGTCTGCTTAGCATATTGCTTATCCTGTATTTGCCAGATACCTCCCCAATTTAATACATTTTGTATTCCTTTTTGTTTCATTCAGTCTCTAATACATGTAAAAAACAAGATAAGTGTGTCTAACATACATCATTATATCCAGAAATTGTTGTCTGTTTTTTGTTCTTTGTTTCCTTCTTTTTACCCAATGTTTTTTTAGTCTGCCAGTTATCTTTATTGATGACGTGTACGTGACTTTGTACCTTTTATGACTGACTCTATGGAACCAGGGATTTCTCATTTGGCAGCTTCAGCTCCTCGCATCTCTTCCTTGCATCTCTCTCTCTCTCTCTCTCTCTCTCTCTCTCTCTCTCTCTCTCTCTCTCTCTCTCTCTCTCTCTCTCTCTCTCTCTTCTCTCTCTCTCTCTCTCTCATCCTCACTGGCACGATCATAGCTGCAAGGAAAAGCCTTGAGTGAGGGAAGCAAGGAGAAAACGTTAGCATAATGAAAAGCACACATAATGTATTCAAATGAGTTTAAAGAAGCCCTTTTCATTTGTTGTACCTGTATACGACACAAAATCAATGCCCTTTAACTGATTACTTGCTTCAAACAATCTCTTACCTCTAACATGTTTTAAATACAACAAATTAGTGTCTGATGGAAATTGAAATCCTTTGAAAACCCTCTTTTCTCTTGAGCAGTCACGCAGCTTAACATTCACGAGACAGCTCTTGTGAAACCACCAGGAACCCGTCTTGTGTTGCAAGTGGAGGAGATGATAGATTGTTAAAATGCTGGATATATTTGGCACAGTCTCTGCTTGCTTCATTATTAAAAGCAGAGGGTAGGGTTCATCTGTTACTTTTCACTGACTCACCTGCCTCTCCTCTCTATATCTCTGCATCTGTATGCGTGTTTGCGTGCGAAGGCTGTGTGTGTGTGACATGGACAGACTCGGACGTAATGAATTCATTGGAGAGGTGAGAGTGGCTCTGAAGAAACTGAGAGAGGGCGAGAACAAACGCTACAATATGGGCCTGGAGAGAATTACACAGGTAGGCACATTATATATGTTCCACATACCAAATGGGTTTCTCTGGACATATACATCAAGATGTGTCCTATTTCCATTGTGCATGTTTGCCTGGGGGCTATCGGTTATTAATTTTAAACACTGCATTATAATATGTCATAGATATTCACCCGGAGGCTCTCTATGCTATAACCATTATGCCTATCTCTCCCATTTCAGAATAAAGAAGCTAACAATCAACCAGTGGAGCCGGGAACGGTCGTGGCAGAAGAGGAGGTAAAATGATCACCAGCTTTATCATCACCAATCTTATCATAACCACTTTCAACCAAAACATGGCTCAGTGTAGCTTCCTAGAACTCTCCTTTATCTGATACACGTTCTTATCTTTTCAGCAACTGTAATTAATCCTCGGTTTTCCCCATCTGTAAAGGAAAAGAAAGTTTAATTGGGTGTTTTTCTTGAACCAGTTGATGTGTCTGAGGCATGATCTCTAATGGACCGATGTAAAGGGAAACGAGTCACAGGACTCCATATAACAACAGGTTGTAAATTACACCGAGGCGCCGGTCCAGTGTTTTCATCCCCTGGTGGTTGTTATCTAATTTCTCTTCATGATGTTAGAGGCAGAGGCTAATAGCTTTTGGTCTCCGATTACACTCAGTCTATGGTTCAACCTGGAGATTACACTCAGTCTATGGTTCAACCTGGAGATTAAAAGGAGAAAAGAACAGTGTCATTGTGCTGAGTTCAGATAAATCCTTTAATTACAAGCTTTAAATTGAAATCCGCTGTTGCCAGAATTGGATAAAGTACTCATATCCTTTACCAAAGTACCTTAGTAAAAGTAGAAATACTATGGTCTTCAAATATTCCATCAGAAGTAAAAACCCGGAATGCACCTTTTGGAATAACAGAAGTAATATCAGCTAAAAATACTCAATATGAAGAGTGGTTCATTTCACAATACTATATTTTATATAATGTTATTTTATCCTGTTTTTATAACTGACAAATACATGTCACGGCATTTTAATGTTGTAGTTGCGGAGCCAATTTTACATAAAAGACTGGGCTGTACAGAACTGCATATGGATAATTTGTACGTGTAAAAACAACTAATTAATAATACTAGCTAATAAATAACTATGAGTGTTAAATAAATGTAGTACAATATTTGCCTATACAATGTAGTGGAGTCGAAGTATAACGTAGCATTAATTGTAAATACTCAAGATAAGTACAATTATGTCAAAAATATATGGTACTCTAGTAAATGTACTTTGTCACTTTACACCACTGCATGTTGGGTGTACATACAAAAACATGATATCCTACAGGAAGGGCAAATGTTGCAGACAATCATTTTTTCTTTGTGCCTAATTTGTTTTGCTTTTAGTGAAAGTGTATCAAATACTTTATTGACCCTGATGCAGCATTCCCCACTGTGTGATCATGAGGAGTAACGCATCAGGTTGGTGCTGTGTCTCTGTGTGTGTTTGTGTGTGTGTGTGACACTGTTCTTCTGTTTCTGTGTCCCCAGCGTGGCCGCATCCTGGTGTCACTGTGCTATAACACAGAGAAGGGCTGCCTGCTGGTTGGGATAATACGCTGTGCCCATCTGGCCGCCATGGACTCCAACGGCTACTCTGACCCCTTCGTCAAAATGTGAGTCGATTCTGATATTCATGAACAAACCTGGTATCCTACAAATTATGCTCGTACTGTCAGCAGCTATTCTGCATTAGGAACTCACAGTGGTGAGATATTCACAGTGGTGAGATGTCCTCATAGTGCAGCGAAAAGTCCCGCTGTGTAACTTTGCACTCGCCACCTCCGTTTTAGAGATTGTGGAGGAAGATAACGTTTTTACATGAATCATTCCATCTCTGAGTCTGACAAAAAAACTGAAAGAAACAGAAAGTAGCTGTCTGAAATTGCTATGTTGGGAAGTTGTTTTCTTTCAGCACTCGTTTGCCTGAGTATCTGACAGAGGGGGCGAGGCAGCACCGCCTATGGCCACATTCATGGAAAATAGTTTACGATGAAATCTTCATTTTAAGTCCTGTCTCATGAGAGCAGTCGTTGTTGATTCTAAGTTTATATTATGGAGCTGTTAATCCTTGGGTTGGCTGAGTGTGTGGGTGTCTCTTTCGTTTATGTATTGTTTTTCCCAAGGCACCTGAAATAAAACATGAAACAGAAAACATGTTATCAGCATTGTGTTGCATATTAACTTGGGAAGGATTTAATCAGATTCCAGAACAATTAAAATGGGAAATAATTGACTCAGAGTTTTGATCTGTCTCATATGCCATACAAAAATTATTATTATTTAGATTTCCACCTGAGGCATGGTAGAGCCTCATAGCTACAACTCTGCACAGAGTCTGTTTCTAGTAGGGACTTGGTAGTGACTTGGCTTGAGCCCCTACCAAGTAAATTCCCAGAACGATCCAAGTTTGCCAAGGTGCCCCTGAGCAAGGCACCCCCATACTGCTCCCAGGGCGCTGTACATAATGGCTGCCCACTGCTCCTAATACTAGGATGGGTCAGATGCAGAATCCTGGGGCAGCAGTAGCTCAGTCTGTAGGGACTTGGCACGAGAACATAAGGATGTGGACGGGTAGCTGGAGAGGTGCCAGTTCACCTCCTGGACACTGCAATTTGCCCTTGAGCAAGGCACCAAACCCCCTCATTCTATGAACTAAACAGACATTTCATCTGTTTACTTTACCCACTTAATCATTATATCCTCATTAGTTATCAAAAATGTCATTGTGTAAATCTTGTGAAGGCCCCAATAGTCAACAGTCATTTTGAAATATCTGTGATGATATTTTTAGTCTGTCTAAAAAGTCTGTGCAAAAGTCCCACCTCGCATCACTTCTGACCTTAATAAAGCCTCAAACTGAGAGGTCATATAAATGCAGCTGCTCGCAGTCGGAACACTGTGAGTGAAGAATGCCACTGCAAATTTAATTTCACAGAGAGTGAGCAACATTTCTGGAGGTGTTTCATCACCAACCACAACTTTTTTACTTTTTCCAACTGTGAAAAGCTCCTTCATTTTCTTTGTCTATTGCATTTTGGGACCACTTTAAAATCAAGCCTTTCTCTTCTGTAACATAAAACACAGTCCATGCCTATTTCACATACACTTTGCCCTTTAACCAGCCTGACACTTAAACTCCATCTTATCGAGTTGATGGCATAAAATGCCTTTTAAATATTACAATGTCATCAGTCCAGCATAGGAACAGTCCCAATCACACTCCAGAAAAAGGTAGGACTGGATTATGTTAAACTGAAACAGTTAATAAAATAATTGGTCAATTTTGGTTTGACAATCGTTTTAGTCATTTTATTTAACAAAGAAACCAGATATTCATGAGAGGATTTTGTCTTTTCTCTTTTTTCATATAACAAAATCATCTTTGAAATGACTTTTGGACAGTTTGGCACATAAAGCAAGCAATTTAAAGACATCAACTGGGAGCTCAGGGAAATCTTCTGACATTTAATAGATTTAATAATTAACCATTATCAAAAAAAATATATATTGGTGCCACAATAGTTTAACCCTTGTGTGGTGTTCGGGTCAAATTGACCCGATTTCCATTTTCAATGAATAAAAAAATATATAAGGATATTTTCGTTCAACCTGAAACTCAATGGCCGGGGCTTATTTATTGTGAAGGACATGTGGAATTGTTTTTATTTTTTTACACTTATGAAAAAATGCCCACCTGCATTTATGTCCTTCATAAGAGGTTCGGGTCAATCTGACCCGGATACAATACCAGGACAGACAGACAGAGAAAAAGACACAGAAACACACACACACACACACGCACACGCACACGCACACGCACACACACACACACACACACACAATTGTATGCATAGAGAAGCTGTTTGATCCTGTTTTCCCTTGATTTTTACCCTTTGTAGTGTGTGCACAAAACTATCCTAGAACATTATAAACATTTTAGATCTTCCAGAAATGTATAAACATTTTACATTTTACATTTACATTTAGAGGAGGGACTAAACAGAGACATAACCTCACATTACAGTGTATAGTGCAGAGCTACAATTATCAACCAGCAAAATGGCCAAAATATATTCTGCTCAGAGAGCCTTGGAGCTAATAATGGATGAGAGTGAGTGGAATGCATTAGAAGAACACGGTGAAGTGGAACAGGAAGACATTTCTGAAGATGAGGATAATGTGGAGGTAAACTCAGAATTTGACAGCGAATTGGAAGGTGTGTGTGTGTGTGTGTGTGTGTGTGTGTGTGTGTGTGTGTGTGTGTGTGTGTGTGTGTGTGTGTGTGTGTGTGTGTGTGTGTGTGTGTGTGTGTGTGTGTGTGTGTGTGTGTGTGTGTGTGTGTGTGTTTTCCAGTGTTAGGAGATGTGGCGAAAACAATTTCTGAACTAATACATATGTTACTGACACAGACTACATGCAGCAACTGCAACAAGTACATATGTGCTATACACACAAAGAAGTTCTGTACATTATGTGTTTCCTAAACGGACTTGCCCATTGACTCACATGATGTTCTGCAGCGTCACTTCATCAATATATTTTTCGGATATACTGTATTTTATGAATAGTGACTGTTAATTGTTTTTATTTGCTTTGTGTTTATATCTGTTCTATGTCATTTATATGGATGTTTCATCATCTCTATATATTTCACAGCCAAATACTTTTGGATGTGTGGTTCTTGTGTTTCAATTGCTGTTAAATTGCTTTATTTCCTTCAGGGCGTTAAAAAATTATTATACTAACTAATAAATAACTATTATGTTATAGATAATTAAAATAATTATAAGCTGTATATGACCATATCATAGTTAAATGACATTATGTCAGACTAAGCAGCTTCTTTCAGCCAATGAAAGGCTTCCGAAAAGGGACTCTTGGAGAGACAAAGTGTCTGCCGCTGCCCACCTGAGCCCACCTGCCTGTGAGGATCGGGCAGGGACAGATAAAGCCCACACAGCTCAATCTCTGATCTGCCTGGTGCACCTAAACACCCACAGAGCAGATAGAGGGAGAGCTCCCACACGGCCCCCTTCAGTAGAGCGAGGCTTTGAGGCAGAAGGAGCTCCAGGCTGCTTGAAATTATTGTCTGATTTGATAAAGCCATTGAAGCTTCAAAAAGCTACTCTTAACTTGGTTTTGACCCGTTTGACCAAGACAATGTTTGTGTATGGCCTGAAGATGGCTGTAAAAGATTCAGAAAAAGAGAGATTAGCCCGAGTGTACTCCTAATTCTTATGCGCTTAATGTAAGTTCAAAGCTGAAGCAAGCTTCTGCCGGCATCCCTTAAGTGAATGTGCTCTGGTGTCATTCAGAGATTTAAGTTCGGCAGTTTTTTGTACACTTTACAATCAAATGTATTTTTTTTCTGTTCTGTTTTCCAACAGTTCACAACCGCAATAAACATGATTTAAATATCAGAAGTATGCACTTTAACTCCTCTACAAGCCACAGTACTGTACACCCACTCATAGCGCTGCTCTCTGTTTAATTCCATAGTTCACACAGATCAAAAAGTCCAGCTTTACATGAAGAAATGGGCTGACCTAGTACACAGTGAATGCAGAGACTAATTTGTTTACCATGAAGCGACAATGCCCTCTAGCATAGGGAGTATGACTTATCCGTAGGGCGTGGAGAAGGAAGTTGCGTGATGTTGCTATAGAACCACAAAGACCCCCGAGGAAGGTCAGAGTGGTCTGGAGGCACAAGGAAACGTCAACATTGAACACAAAAGGTTGCAAATCCTTAAGCACAAGATCTTTAATGCAACCATGATGACAAAAACCCCCTAAAGCAGTCAGTTTAAACCATGATGTTTCCTCAGGGTCTGCGGTTCGATTCCCGTCTTATCTGCATGTCCTTGTGTGCCGTGGCGAGCCACTGAACACCAAATTGCTCCCCATGGTCAAATTTGTGAAATGCCTTTAATAAAATCGTTCATTAAATGCAGCAGTTACTTATTTGTATGTCCCTAAACCAATAAGCAAGTTGTATTGTAGCGATGTTAGATCAGCACATGTTTCCATGTGTTGTCCTGTTACAACATATTTGGTAGTTTGATGAAGAGAAAGTGTTGTGGATCGAAAAGATGGAAGCTTTAGAGAAATGATTGTAGATAGAAGTGTGGAACAATTACTGTTTGGAAAACAGTGTTTTTAGATGTCTGTATAAGTAGGACGTATTCAGCCAGTCCCACCGTATTGGCATTTTGAAAGCCTTCTTCAAAAAACAGAGAGGAAGCTAAAAGAAAAGTATTTCTCTTTTCTCTCTGAGGTATCGATTTGTTCCTCTCCTTATAAAGTGACACTGCATGCTTTTTGTGTCTACTTTGATACACAATGTTTTCGAGTAAATAAATAAAAAACATAAGCAGCCCGGAATATCCTCTTCTATCCTCTTATTCCTCTTCCTTCTGTCAGTCTTTCCCACCATGTTGCGTTTCCTTCCTATGTGTTGTGTTTTCCATTTCATCTCTGCATCCATTCACCGGATGTTTCATTTGTGCAGGCTCTTAGAGTTTACGGGCTTTGATTGAATCTTTACTCTGATTCATATTTCTGGCACTGAAATGAGTTGGGTTTTTCATTTATCTGTCTTCCAAAGTTTCCTTTGGTTCTCTTTTGTAACGGGGACTCTGAATCTATCACAAAGAGCCTACTTTACCCCAGTTCAGTGATTGGTCTGCTTGTTTAATGTGTCTTTTCTTAATTTCCACCAAAGAAACAACATCATTAGTGTATTGAAGCTTTAGTGAGGTTAACTTTTAACAGAAAAATACAGAAAAAAGGGGGTGAATGTAATGCTGCATAGGTGAATTAGGTCTCCAGAGTATAGTGAGCAATTGAGTCGACATGAGATTAGAGAATTAATTTGCTTAGCAAGATTTCTGGCTTATTTCACTGTCAGACTGGAGTCCTGCAGCTTTAACACCAGCAATCCTCTTGAGGAAGCTGATACTAAAGCTGATCTTGATGCCTATGTGTGTGTGTGTGTGTGTGTGTGTGTGTGTGTGTGTGTGTGTGTGTGTGTGTGTGTGTGTGTGTGTGTGTGTGTGTGTGTGTGTGTGTGTGTGTGTGTGTGTGTGTGTGTGTGTGTGTGTGTGTGTGTGTGTGTGTGTGTGTGTGACCATGCATTTGTCCAGAGGGCTTTTCCAATATGACTTTTCTTTCAATCAGCCTAAGAAGCCATTCATGTGGCACAGGGTCAGATTTATCGCAGAGCTAATTTGTCTTCCATTTAAAAGGACAAATTAGCATTTGAAGACTAAATGAGTTTACATCCTTCAGAATGACCCACATCCCTCTACCTTGCTCTTCACACATTCCCTTATATGTTGGAAGAATACATTATTCTGTCAGAAAAAAAGACATGTAAAGGCAGAAAAAAGTGCAAAACATGTCAGATATTTCCTGCTGACCAAGCACACTGCTTCACAGTTTTGTTCTTTCTGAACGCTTGTGTGAAGTGAAAATCATGACTGCAGCAGGCATACAGTATATTTAACTCCAATTTCCAGTTGTCACTCATCTTTCTATCACGTTTTTTTGTTGATTTCTTAGTGACATTACTTTGGTTTCAGCTCCCTCACCCTCATCTCTTTCCGTCACTTCTGTTTTTTTTTCTTGATTCTATTCTCTATTTCCCAGGGACACTTTTGCTCTTCTGCTTGTCTTTGCCTGACCTAAACTTGCTGTCAGAAGGGTTTAAGGTACCAAATGTACATGACCCTGGTAGTTGTCAAACTGTCATGCTGTTTAGTCATGAGGGTCCAATGACATAAAGGGCAAAGACAGGCGAGAGATGAAAAAAGGAATTTAAGGGTACAGTTGTTGTAATGGTAGTCACCAAATATTATGTAGAACTGTTAGTATTTCAGCTTGTGTTCAGCCGTTTCCGGTTACATGAGCATAAAAGGTCAAGAAGCCAAAGCACTATAATGAAGGCCTTCCCTACCAAGTTTAAACTAACAAATAAAAAAACACAATACTTTTTTCATTTCTAGCATATTTCAATACTCACATGCCCATATTTTGAATGGCTTATTCGTCACTGTAATCATTCCTCTACTGAGCGCAATCCGTTGAATGTAAACCCCAATTCATGCTTGCTGCATTCACATGGCCAGGCATGACATCAATTTCAAATGCAGCAGATAAGCTGACAACTTGAAGCTTGTTTCCTGTATATTGTCTTATTTTTAGAAAGCGGTTTGTCCGCTGTCTGTGTGCAAGACCATTGTATCTCGGTTGAGGTATAAACAAACCCAAGATGTCAAAATCCACAGTGCTTGTTAAGTGCAACAAGGAATTCTGAAGCCAAGACAAAGATATACGAGGCTTCAGCAGTCTGAGTTCAAGTCGATAAATCAAGTCTGTGTTTTCAAAAGTTACATACTTTTTATCTTAAAATTCATCAAGGATACTCTGCTGCGGTGAACAATTTAGTAACACACGTTTTCATACTAAAAGGATTGTTATATTGATTTGTTTAATTGAGACATCCAAAGCCCCTATCATCTTTGTCTTTGGCACACAGCAAGGATGGCAGATTTGATCCCCCATCTTTTGCAGTGCAGTTTCGCACGCTTAAATGCGTTTACTTTATGGCCAGTACAAAAACGCACACAGTGAATATTAACTCTGTCCCTGTACATACAGTTATGTGAATATTGTATATCTGGAACACCGACTTTAATGCGCTGCTATTTTAACTTAATTTGACCTGGTGCAATGATGTAAAAATACTTATATTATGTTATTATATTATTAAAAAACACAGCTTTAAGATGCCTCATTCAGAAAGATCAGGAAATGACTTAAATACTAGGACAAAATAACTAGCATTTAATATTATACAATTGGGCTAATGACGCATGAGGTGGTAATTAGTCAGCTACAAAAGGCGACAACATATTCATTAACACCAGCAAATCTCACACATTAAATATGCCCCGCTAAATATACTAGTGGTTAATTCACCGAGCTTCAGGTTTTTGAGAGACCGTGGAGGCTGTTTTGATGCTGTCGTGGGGTTGCTGCAGTAGATTTCAGTTAATGTCTGCGTATTTGTGTTATTTCTGTCCACTCCTTAAATGTCATTCTTCTAACAAGTGTTGAACTGATATGACCATAGTGCTCCATATGAGAAAAACAAAATGGTTTTGTGGAACCGTATTTAAAAATCATCATCATTATAGAGAAGAACAGCTGTCAATCGTCGTTAACCTCATCAGTCAGTGGAGGATTGGGACTAAGACAGAACAAAAATTGCGTTGTATTTTGCTGTGAACAACCTAGTTTAAAAAAAAGAAAAAGCCAACAAAAACTGAGAAGATAATCCCTCCTATCTCCATGGGCCAGCCTTCCATGCTATGAATTATTCTTCACATTGAATTTTCTACAGTAATTTGAGCATAGTTTGGTTGCTGCTGTGCCGAATATTTTTATTTATATCATCATTATAATTAATGTTGCTATCAAATGATGTTTTATTATTCTGGAAATTGGAATCCCTCTTCTGAGCGGCCTCAAAGCCGTCTGTAAAATGTGATTTGGCACAGCAGCTCAGACTGAGATGTCCCCCGGTTCTCACCTCACCCTCTCACATGCTGCCGGTCAAATGCAGGCTTTGTTTGGCCGCCTGTCTCAATGGATCTTTTTCTTTCCTTCTCCTTTCTTTTCTTGTGAGGGCGGTCAGACCATTGTGTACTGTAGTACTGTCCGGCAGTGGCTCAGTCAGTCCGGCAGTGGCTCAGTCAGTAGGGGCTTGGACTGGGAGCCGTAGGGTCGCTGGTTCAAGTCCCCGACCAGACCTAAATATGGAGTGTGGACTTCTACTTGGAGAGGTCCCAGTTCACCTCCTGCCCTGCCGTGGTGCCCTTGAGCAAGGCCCCGGACACCCCCCTTCCCCCCCACTCCCATTGCTCCCCGGGCGCTGTACAATAGCTGCCCACTGCTCCTAGTACTAGACTCCTTGTACTAGGATGGGTTAAAAGCAGAGGCCAAATTTCACTGTGTGTGCTGTGTGCTCTGCATGTGTGACCATTAAAGAGGGTTTCATCCCTCCCTATTCTTCTTCTTCTTCTTCTACCAGGTATCTTTATGTTGATTAGCTTATATAAAAAATGACCTTTTTAAAATACAATAAAAACCCAAGAGAGCCTGTGACTAGTGACAAAAAGCGGTTTGGTAACATGTCGTCAGCTAAACAGCACTATAATTGGGAGTGTAATAGGTATACAGTAGGATTAATAGTGCTATGTCCAAAATCATTTTAGAAGTTATCCACTGTATAAGTCCTTCGAGAGGGCATTTCACAGCTGTTGAGTATAATCGTTATAGATGTGTGCAGAGAGAAAAAGCTGCATGCAAATTATCATGTAATTGGCACAGATTTAGCCACTGGACATTTTGTGTTGTTTGCCCCAAATAGTCAATGTGCTTATTTATCACAATTGTAAACGGGAGGTTTTTATACTGTTGCTGCTGCATACAGCAGACAAGCCTTGACAAGCAATACGAACAAAAAAATGACTTATCCATCTCGCAAAAAGTCAAACGTTATTTGTGTGAGAGCAATGTTACTGTTTCGAATACATTTTGTTTAACCATCACTTTATCCCTCAGATTTAGCTTTCAAACTCTTTGCTGTTTAGGCTCCCCTACTGCGGGCGCGGATTCTGGGCCGTGTTTTGTGAACATCTTGACATACTCTGATATTGAGTCTTCTTTGGTCAATCTTGTTTCGGACAAAAAAAAAAGGAAATGTTAATAAGTTAAGCCCAATAGTAAACAGTGTGTGTTTTTGCATCTCCTAGCTGTCAACAACACGTCGGAGGACTGAATTCACGCCCGTCACTGATATCTACAACTTAGCCCAATCCTTTCATATGATGAAAATGTAATTTTATATAACTGACAGTGACTAAATGACTCAAGTCTTTGTGCCACCACCTAGCTTTTTTATCAAATCCTCCTCCGGTTCCTCCTCCATCCCTCCCTCCTTCACTCGCTCTGATTCCAGCTCCGCAGTGACAACCCCCAAGCCCATCTCATGCATCAGCTGTCAAGCCAGGACTCGTCACTGGCAGGAGGCTGAAAGAGTGAGATATCTCACCGCCTGAACATCTTGACTTGGAATTTACGCCGATGATGACTCCCATTGCCCTTTAGCGATCCTTCTGTTGCCTCTTCGCCGGAGCGCACAGTCCTACAACATTGGCACGATTGCTATCTTGCTTTGGCCTTCTGTCTCTCTCTGTTTGTCTTTCAATCTCTCACTTTCCCTGTCTTTGTTCGAAATACCTCTGGGTCGGAGTTATCTCAGAAAGAGATTTTGATAACTTTCTGACTCCATTTGGTTCTGCCATTCAGCAAAGTTCACTGTCACAAATGGCAAAAGATAAGAAATAAGGAAGAAAGTGACAGTTGAATTTCTTTGATCTCAACAATAATGATTGTTCTGACCTTGTTTAAGAGGTAACATTTGAGGAACTTAATTTGTTTCTCTTTCCCTCAGCACCTTGCAGCCAGATATGGGGAAGAAATCCAAGAACAAGACTACCGTGAAGAAAAAGACTCTCAACCCCGAATTCAATGAGGTACACCCTTTCTCCTGCTGTACAAATAACCACCATACACTGAGCTACTCCTATGATTTTCTATAATGTATTTAAAATGTTGTTCTGCACCTTGTTTAACTTCTTTTACATCTGACATTGCTTTTTGTATGTGTTCTCATCATCAATCTGCTTTTTGCTTCTACAAAAAGCACTACATAACCAATTCAGTTCCTTTTCACTCTCATGTTAATGAATCATTCATATAAATATGCTCTTTTGTACACCACCTGCACAGGAGTTTTCATATGAAGTTACCTTGGACCAGCTGGCAAAGAAAACCCTGGAGATCTCGGTGTGGGACTACGACTTGGGAATGAGCAACGACTTCATAGGTAGGCTGAGAAAAAAACTGCGAGGGGAGGAAAAGAGAGCGAAGCAGATGCAGCAAAGTACATGACTGTAAAAGAGTGTTTGAATGAAAGCAGCGCACTTGTAGAAAACATAAAAAACCAACGTGGGCGGAGAGACATGTAAAAAAAAAGGAATGAGGAGTAATTATGAGGCTTGAGGAGAACGATTTGAACGAGCCAAGGAGAGTTTGAGTGGAAAAGGAAAGAGAGATGCTTTAGAAATCGAAAAGACTTCACATCCTTCGTGGACTTTGCACATCAGATCGCTGCTGCTGCGACAAACTGCTTTGTAACCGCTTTGGCACTGCCTGATGTATATATCATGTCAATTGAGCACATGGGAGCTTAGGTAGTGATGGGGAAGTAGTGGGGAGGCACAGTAATATGGATTACCACCCTGTGAGCTCGAAGGCCTTTAGATCAAAGCGTTTTACTCTCTCTAATGTGTGTGTGCGCACGCCAAGGAGACAGAGGGTGGGTTGGTTGGAGGGAGACACCCAGTGTTTGGATAAGCACAGTGAGTTATTAGCGCTGCTGGGAGAAAAGGCCACCAGTCTAACGTACAGCCCCAGATAACGACCATTCCCCTGACCATTATCATTACAGGTTTAGCGACATCAACCTGCCAGTTATGTTAATTGAGCCTGGGAGAAAAATGATTCTGAGACAAAGATAGATGGAGAAAACAAGTTGATAAAGAGGCCAAGCGAACATAATCTTAGTGCAATTGAATAGGAGTGAGAGCAATAACAAGCGGGGTAATAGGCTTACCCGAAGACATAGAGGTTGTCACATGGTAAAAGGTGAGATCTTAAAGATAAATGGAGGAGAAAACTGAGCAATGAGAGATTAAATATGGGAGTGAAAGTAGGGCATGGGTAATACATCAGGTGGATGACATGAGGATCTTCACCATAAATTAAACCTTGAAGTCTAAATCAGAGTCGTGTTTGGTAGATTTACAAAGACTATGTCCTCCTTTAAACCTTCC